TATTAATATTTTTTTATCCTGTATCAATGTTAGAAGGGGATGATACTGACAATTTCCTATTTAATTTTTATCAAAACTATTCAACGGAATATAATCATCTAAAAATGCGTTAAAAAGTTTGAGTTCTTTAGAAATTTTTTGTCTTTTATTTTACACTAAATTTGTAGGGTGCGTCAAAATAAGCGCGAAAACATTTGGATGATCCTTCGTCGAAAATTAAGGGGGTTTTCTTATCCCTCTTTATTTTTTTCTCAAATTTCAGACAAATTAAAAAAATGAAATTTTGATGGATATTTTTTGCATTTATAAAAAGGATATTTATTAATATTTTTTCATCCTCCTGTATCAATGTTAGAAGGGGATGATACTAACAATTTCCTATTTAATTTTTTATCAAAACTATTCAACAGAATACAATTATCTAAAAATTTTTTAAAATCAATAGTTTTTAAGGAAAAAATTAAGACTTAATTTTTACCTCCCTTTTTAAAAAGAGTGTAACTCTACAGGAAAGGATATAAAAGTTTATGTTTATATAAGAAACCCTTTTTAATTAGATGAGAAAAATTTAGGAGATAGTATTTTGTCGGAAATTGGGGGGGTTTCTTATATAAACATACAGGGTGTTCAAAACAACCCGATGTCCTGGAAATATATTCCTGAATGCATTTTAAGACGATTTTTCCTTCACGAAAAAGGCGAGACATCAATAATTTTCGAGATATAAGCGTTTGAGAATATGAGATTTTTCGCAAACTAAGCCTTGTGGAAATAAAATGTTAACAAAATCACTTTCTTTTATTAATTTTATGTAGAGTTTACTTAAATAGAATTGTAATTGAAGGCTTAATTACGAAGATACACGATGGCAAAAATAATGATCTCGACATTTTTGTTGAGGAAAAATTGTCTCGGTACTTTTATATCCCTCCCTTATTTTTTTCTCAAATTTCAGACAATTAAAAAAATGAAACTTGAACATTTTCCACTAATAAAAAAGATATTTATTAATATTGTTTTGATCTTTCTGTATCAGCGTTATAAGAGGATGATACGAACAACCCCTATTTAATTTTTTCAAAACTATTTAACGGAATATGATCATCTAAAAATATGCGTTAAAAAGTTTGATTTCTTTAGAAAATTTTTTGTCTTTTATTTTCTTTCGTAAAATCAATAGTTTTTAAAGCAAAAAATTAAAACTTAATTCTTACCTTCCTCTTTAGAAAAGTATAACTCCTCGGGGAAGGATATAAAAGTGTATGTTTATATAAGAAACCCTTCTTAATTTTCAACGAAGAATCATCTAAAATTTTTTGCACTTATTTAAATACATTCTGCATATCTAGGTATATCTATCCTATATTTGTCTCAATCGATTTTTAATTCAATTCCAAGTCTGCGAGATCTTTACGCGCGAGAGTTTCGTCAAAAATAAATCACTCTGGAGAGAAAAACGAGGTTAAATCTAATTTCGGCCGATGATTAGGACGAAAGGTTCCCGGGTTCGACGAACGGTAGGCCAAAAAGGAAAATCCCCGCGAGGGACTTTCGCGATAATTTCTCGAAACGACGAATCTCGGAGTATTGTTTACGTCGATCGATATGTACGGCGAGGTTGAAGGGGCAATTCCCAAACGACAACGGTTTGCTCACTGCCCGCCTACCTTTCCATTATCTCCGCCAATTCGCAAATAGTAGTTATGTCCTCCGCAAACTCGCCATTACTTAAATTATTTCGTGGGTAAAAAGACGGCCCGCGGATTGTAATCAAATATTACTCCAAAATTAGACTTGAAAAGGGCAAAACTTCAAGAAAATTATAATCAAGTTCAATTTTTGTGGAGATCTTTATTTCGATGTCCTAATGAAATCATGAAAAGTACCCTTAATTCCAACCTGAGCGTTTTTTATGGGAGGTAAAAAGAGGGTAAATTTTAGTTTTTTGCCATTATCTCGAAAACTATCAATTTTTCGAGAAAAATAGTTATTATGAAAATTGTAGCTCATAAAATTCTCTACAAAAAAGGTCATTATACTTTTTTTCGTACAACTAATCGTTTATTGAGTAAAACGTGCGGTAAAGTTGCAATAGTTAGTCACATATAATACTATTTTTCTTTCAGACTTAATTCGCTCTATATCTTCGAAACGATTAATTCCACGAAAAGAGTATAATGACCTTTTTTGTAGGGAATCTTATGAACTATAATTTTTATAATAACTTATTTTCTCGAAAAATTGATAGTTTTCGAGATAATGGCAAGAAACTAAAATTTATCCCTCATAAAAGAACGCGTTGGCTGAAATTAAGAATACTTTTCAGGATTTCATTAGAACATCGAAATAAAGGTCTCCACAAAAATAATTTTTTTGAAGTCTAATTTTACTGAACTATATTTTAATCATGTACGAACTTGAAATTCAAAAACTTTCCTTTGTCCTTTTCTTCCGTTCCTGCGCAAAAAAAAAATGCGTTTCTTTTTCGATAGCGGAGAATGATTGAATTGGGCGAAACTAATTTCGAAGCGAAACATCGCGGACGATATAATGCTCGGTAAAAAGAAAAACTCGATCTATGGAATGGGAAGGGGCGAAAAATTTCGGCGTTTTCTTTCGGGCGATCGTGTTATTTCAATTTATTCGAGCTTAACGAAAATAACTCGCGGGGAGCTGTTCTTTATGCAAATCCGCACACAGCCGCGTTCTCGATTAAATTTCGTTTGATTTCTCGATATTTCTCGAATCGTCGACCAATAACATTCGGCGGGGAACATAATTGAATTATCCCGAAAATATATATGTATATAGATATTCGCAAATTTCTGTTTATCGCGCGATCGAAGATATCCGTTATTTTCGTACGCGATTGTTATTCTCGGCGCTTTGCATGGATATACATAAATGCATGACGTTTTGTGTAGATAGGTAGGTATAGGGAGGTACTAGCTTTTATTCGTCTAGTTTGTATTCTTTTTATTCCTCTCGTGTCACGTTGCATTTTGTCGCGCGAGCGAGCGAGCGAGCTAGACGAGCAAAGAGCAGGTATGCATTTGTCGATATACGATACATTCTGTATATATATATATATGCCTACATATAGGTTTATGTATATATGTAGCACGCGATACACGATATCATCCCTCCAGAATCCCCCTTTTCCCTCTTTGTCGGCGATTTAATCGGACGATTTGGGGATAATTGCGAAATTCGCGTCCGGTATTAGCGGGTTCGTTAATTTACTAATTCGCTTATCATATAATGTGAAACTCATCGGCCGACTGTGCACCTTGCGAAATATAGCCCGATCATTTTTCCGACCGGGCCACCGTTTAATTCGCAAATCAGCGCCGATTCATGCACACTTTTATTGAACTTGGACAGAGCAGTCGAAATATTCTCGGCACGCGTGTCGAAAAATGGATTTTGATATCTCTTATAAACGCTGTTCGTTCATGCAGATGGATTTCGTTATTTGTCGCACCACGACGACTGATTTGCAGTAATAATCGCACTTTTTGTTTCTATAACGTTGGAGAGTTGCTCCTAAATTAATTTGACGAATTGGAGAAAGAATTATTTAATTGTGGAAATTAAACAAACGTTAAACAGGAGAACTTTAAAGTCCTAAGTAGTGAACTGACGTCAGTAAACGTCAAAATGGTATTATTTTAACGTCTTAACATTGGAAAATCTATAGAGACAGAATGGTGTAGATTTTTACAGGAGCGACGAATCCGTCGAAACAATTTTAGAAGGCACGTAAAAAATATTTAGAACCCAGATAGCAAGCATCCGTCATTTTGACGTTTAATGACGTCAGTTTGCTACTTGGAACTTTAGATTTCTCTTTTTAATTTTTCTCTAATTTTCATAATTAAATAATTCTTGAGGTAATTCGTTAAATTGATTTTGGAGTAACTCTATCGCAAAATGACGTCATTCGACGTCAAAATGACGTCATTTAACATTTGTCTTAACGTTGAAATCTATAGAGGGAGAATGGTGCAGATTTTTATAGGAGCGACGGATCCGTCGAAACAATTTTAGAAGGCACGTAAAAAATATTTAGAACCCAGACAGCAAGCATCCGTCATTTTGACGTTTAATGACATCAGTTTGCTACTTGGAACTTTAGATTTCTCTTTTTTAATGTTTCTCTAATTTTCATAATCAAATAATTCTTGAGGTAATTCGTTGAATTGATTTTGGAGTAACTCTATCGCAAAATGACGTCATTCGACGTCAAAATGACGTCATTTAACATTTGTCTTAACGTTGAAATCTATAGAGGGAGAATGGTGCAGATTTTTATAGGAGCGACGGATCCGTCGAAACAATTTTAGAAGGCACGTAAAAAATATTTAGAACCCAGACAGCAAGCATCCGTCATTTTGACGTTTAATGACATCAGTTTGCTACTTGGAACTTTAGATTTCTCTTTTTTAATGTTTCTCCAATTTTCATAATTAAATAATTCTTGAGGTAATTCGTTGAATTAATTTTGGAGTAACCCTATCGCAAAATGACGTCTTAACGTTGAACTCTGTAGAGGGAGAATGGTGCAGATTAATAGGAGCGACGGGTCCGTCGAAACAATTTTAAAAGGCACGTAAACAAATATTTAGAACCCAGACATCAAGCATCCGTCATTTCGACGTTTAACGACGTCAGTTCGGACAGATTTCTCTCTTTTTTAATTTCCGTTTTAATATTCATAATTCAATAATTCGTTGAATTAATTTTGGAGCAACTCTATCGCAAAGTGACGTTACGCTTGGCTTCGCGAGTTCCAAATATAGTTGTGCGCGTCTTTGAAAATTGTTTCGACGTTTCTATGAAAACCTGCAACCCCACTTTATTCAATCCTATAATATACGCTTATCCAAGCGCAACGTTCTCTTTAAAATATCCACAGTTGACGCGAGAAATCCGTCAGTTGCCAAGTGTTGCGGCCAATGTATACCTATACATAGTCTAACAAGGATCTCCCTTCGTACCTGAATGGATGAGCAGCGACGACAATACGAGGAGCCGTGGCAATAGGACGACGAAGGCCGCGCGCAGCATCCTCGCTCACCCGCGAGTGATTCCCTCTGGTTCTCCGAGATCTCGTCGGGGATAATCCGACGGTGATGATGCGCTTAACGCGGCGCGGCGCGATATGGCAACCGGAAGATTGACCTATCTTTTAACTCGGAACGACGAGTCATCATCGTCTCATCGCTCCCACTCGTATACATACATATACGTAAGTCCACAAACGTTGATTACAAACACTCAAAACTCCTTTTTCCCCCTTGGATCACAGAGATCGATCGATCGAGATCCCGAGGAACGGGAAAACGCGCGCGGCTTCGCCGCGCGGAACCCAAATTTCAATCGAGGACGACAGGAAGGCGCGCGCTTCAAGTATTCGCGGCGGCTCGCGGTGACACGCGACACATAATTTCCTATGCTGCCGCCCCTTGACTAATTGAAAATCTATATACGCTCGTGTTACACGGGTTTCCACCTTCCGCGGAAAGCAGTCGGTACTGCGGCATTGGCACCGGAGGAGGACAGAGGCGCCGAGGCGCGCGCGATAGAGGGTCGTGACTGGTGGTAGGCGAGACGTGGACGAGAAAGGGAGAGAGATTGATAGAGGAAGAGAGACCGGACCGGAGAGAGAAAGAGGGATAGAGAGGGAGAGAGAGAGAAAGAGAGATGCGACGGAGTCCGAGGAGGTGGTAGGCCACGGCAGTGCTGCTGCTGCTGCTGCTGCTGCTACTGCTACTGCTGGTGCTGCTGCCGCTGCCGCTGGTACTATTGCCGACTCCAGTGGTGCTGGTGGTGGTGGTAGTGGTGGTGGTGGCGGCGATGGTGGTGGTGGTTGTGCCGATGGTGGTGCTCGAGGAGAGGGTGAAAGACCACCTGGCGTAGCGCGAGAAGGATGGAACTAGCCGGAGAAGGTTCGTGGGTGAGAGTGAGTTCGAGTTGGTTCCTGGGCGACTGCGCCGTTCTCCAAGTCGATGATCGCTGCAAAATCTTCCGTCTCTCTCTCTATCTCTCTCTTTCTCCCTTCAACCACCTTTCTCTCTCTCTTGGGGGTGCATTCTCTACGTACGGTGGTGCGTTTCATACATGTATATACGTGTATGGAAGAGAGTGGGAGCGCGCGCTCGCGCGTCCATGCGGGCGCTAACGAAATTGGCGAAATACGCTCCGCTCGGAGGAGGAGGAAGAGAGAGAGAGAGAGAGTGGTCCATCCCTTTCGAACCAGCCGAGCACCACCTCGCTTCGTCGCATCCCACCGCGCCGCGACATCGGGGAAAAACGGCCGGCGGACGAGAGGATAACGCGGAAGTTAGTTGGCGATCGTCCGGAGCGATCTTCCGTACATCGGGCTTAATCCTGTGGCCCGGTAATAGGATCGACCGGCGATCCCTCTGGGGAGTATCCTGCGGCGCGACTCTCGAGATTTTCGAATTTATGGTGGAATTGCGGGAGCGTACGTACGCTTCTTGGATGCCACCGTATGGAATATGCTCCTATATACGCCATAAATCCGAAAATTCCCGCTACGACATCGCTCCATTGTCGGGCCGAGGGTGTAAGGAGTATTAGTAGTCCTCCGTCTACGCCCGGATCCACCCCCGATGACAATTCGGCCAGAAAGAATATGCGAGAGAGATGTACAGAGTGTCCCGGACACTTGTGTACCTGTTAACAGGGAGATCCCTCGGATGATTCGATTTTTCCTCGGCGATAATGTCGAGGGACCAATAATTTGCGATTGAAAAGAAAGGTTTTCTCGCAAACTAGTCTTGTAGGAATAAAATATTTACAAAACTCGGGTAATTTCAGGTGGAGACGGAGAAAATTTTATAAGAGTTTAAATCATAGTAAAATCGATTGTATTTTATATCTTATTGTGGTGAATTTTCATCGTAGAAACTCTTATAAAATTCTTCTAATATTGTTTCACGATTACTATGATTTTCAGGGTGAATTCGAAGAGAAAATTCTTTCTGCGTATTTTTCTATAATTTGCATATATTATTTATACATATTTTTATATAATATTATTTATACGTATTTTATACATATTTTTTATATAATAAATTTTATATAATTGTACTTATTTTATTTTTTTTTTTTACAGTGTAACGTAAAGAATGATGACTCTCTTCCTCGACTTACGCCGAGGAAAAATCGTCTTCGAATCACCCGAGGAATCTCCCATTAACTGGTGAGTCTGGGACACCCTGTATATTTTATTTATAAATCAAATCTACTTGGTTTTTCTCTCCCTGGATTGAAATTAGATACCGTCGATGCGAACCTCGGTGCTCACGCTTGAATGACGTTTTGTCATTATATCCCGTGTAGTATCTGTTACATTATCGAGCTGCAATTTTTCGCATACATAGTATATACGTATTGCAAATCGACACAGCTTTAAATTACGAGCCGAACAATATCTCGAGAGCGATTCGAGTACAATACGATTGTTTCCATCATAATGCCATATCATTTTCGAGATAAATCGCGAATGGGGTAAACAACGTTATGCTAATGAGTGTATAATTAGTTTACATTTTGATGATTCTGAAGCTGTGTGTTTTGCGCGCGATACACACACATATATATATATATATATATATATATATGTACCCGGCAAAATCTCGGGATGAGCATTATTCCTTATTCGAGCTAGAAGAGAAGCGAGAACTCGACATCAACTCGTTCGCACAGCGGCGTAATGGGCTTCCCGTACGCGTTACGTTGAAAAAGGCATAAAAAGGGTAAGAGGAATGGCGTTTCGTGCAGCCACTCGCGCGCGCACGAAGGAAAGGAGCGTCTGGCCCCTCGGTAGTGAAAGAATTTCTCTCGCATTTCGAGTTATTGCACTTGACAGGTTTCTCGCCCCTGCCGCCGCGTTGCTTGGGCCGCCGAGTGCCGGGTGAGCTTGCGGCGAGAAACGGGAAATGGGAGGATAAGGCGAAAGTTAGTTGGTGATCGTCCGTGCATCGGGCTTTAATCCTTTGTCCCGGTAACGGGATCCCGGCGTTAAATCCCCCCGGTCTCTCGCATCCGCGCGCGGAGGATCTTTCGCGTACTTGTCCAAATAAGGGCAGTAATTTAACACCGGAAGAAGGGAGGGAGAGCGAGTTATTTCCACTACCGCTGGATATACGGATCCAACCGGACGCCGTAAAGTAAAATTCCGCGCTCTTCCTTCTCTCGATTGACTTTTACATTATTTTTTTTGTTCCCCGCAATCCAGCTTTGGGGATCCTAAACGCCGTATAGATAAAATGTAATTTTTGCACACCCTTTTCTTTTTATTGGTTCGATAGAAAAATAAATGCTTTTTCACGATTAAAGTACATAAAGAAACAAAGCGCGGACTCTACCGGTTTTATTCATGTTGAGGAGATGCTGATCATGTCTGTTTTACTGACTTTGAGTTCAAGGGCTTTTCTTTTTATCGGCTATACAGATTGAAAAATTCTTCTCCACAATTAAAGTAGTGATAATAATGAACGGGAAGCGCTGTAATTTCGTATAAAAAAACAATAAAAGTTAAAAAATTACAGTTCTTTATCGGCCTCTTGCATCAGCTCATAACAATACTTGTTTAATACAAAAGTTCCGCAGTTTATTTGTGCACAAAATATGACGCTCCCAATAGAGACGACATGAAAGAATAATACAGTAGTAATCAAAACGAGATTAAAAGCCTGTATTAAAAGATTCGTACTTGAATTAATTATGTATGTATATTACATAAGAAACTTAACCTAACTTAAAGTCGGTAAAACAGAACTAAACAGAAGTAAAATTCCGAATCCCGCGCTCTTCCTTCTCTCGATTGACTTTTACATTATTTTTTTTGTTCCCCGCAATCCAGCTTTGGGGATCCTAAACGCCGTATAGATAAAATGTAATTTTTGCACACCCTTTTCTTTTTATTGGTTCGATAGAAAAATAAATGCTTTTTCACGATTAAAGTACATAAAGAAACAAAGCGCGGACTCTACCGGTTTTATTCATGTTGAGGGGATGCTGATCATGTCTGTTTTACTGACTTTGAGTTCAAGGGCTTTTCTTTTTATCGGCTATACAGATTGAAAAATTCTTCTCCACAATTAAAGTAGTGATAATAATGAACGGGAAGCGCTGTAATTTTGTATAAAAAAACAATAAAAGTTAAAAAATTACAGTTCTTTATCGGCCTCTTGCATCAGCTCATAACAATACTTGTTTAATACAAAAGTTCCGCAGTTTATTTGTGCACAAAATATGACGCTCCCAATAGAGACGACATGAAAGAATAATACAGTAGTAATGAAAACGAGATTAAAAGCCTGTATCAAAAGATTCGTACTTGAATTAATTATGTATGTATATTACATAAGAAACCTAACCTAACTTAAAGTCGGTAAAACAGAACTACGGCAGCATTCCTTTAAGAATTAAAAAAATTTTTTGCTTTAATCGTAGAAAAGCGCATTTATTATTTTATTCAACCAACAAAAAGAAAAGAGTGTGCAAAATGATATTTTATCGAGGCATTTAGAATCTCCAAAAAATTTTTGAAAATTAAAACGAACGTTTTTTTTCCGCTCACTCCGGTCTCTTATTCTTCAGTTTTTTTTTAGGGACGATAGAGCTTTCGCGGTTGTTCCTTGAATTACGCGGGCGCAGTTCTTTAGTGTCGAAAGGAGTCGTCGGCACGGTCATTTCGATCGTCGGCGAATTCCGGGCAAATCCTCTTCGGTTCTCTGATAGACTTTTGCGGTTTTTCGACTTTCCATCTACCTTACGCTTTCTTACCGCTCTTCCATTTTTCGCGGGTCCCTTGTCCAAATAACGCGGGCGGCTCTTTTAATACGACCCGGACGGGTTCGAAGCGACGAATTTGTCCGCCGTGGAATTTTAAACGTGAATAATTTCGCTTTCTACTTGAGAGATTCCGACATTTTTCAGACTGCCCATCGCGTCTTCGCGCGCTTTAATCTTGAACGGTAATAGGATGGCCGTGCTATATAAATAGTCTTAGTAAAAAAATCATAAAAAAAGAAAAATCTTTCCCTATACAAGGTGTAACGAAATTATCGAACACTCTATTAATAAGGATATTTCTAAGATTATTTGGAGACGATTTTTGCTCAGCAAAAATGTCGAGGGAGGTCATCATTTTTTGTATGTTCTCAATTTTTGCCGTCATGCATATATCTTTGTAACTAATTGTAAGCCTTAAATTAAAATTCTACTAATGTAAACTCTACTTGAAATTCATTGAAGAATGTGATTTTGTTAATATTTTATTTCCACGTTTCAAGGTTCTTAGTTTGCGAAAATCCTTTATTTTTATTTTTGCTGAGGAAAAATGAAGAATTTCTCTATTAACAGCGTGTCCGGTAATTTTGGGACACCCTGTATAGATCCTTTGATAACTTTTTTCGAAGAACTAAAGATTGTACACACACAGAGATTCTACCAACTACAAGCCTTATGAACGATTTTCTGACTCTAAAGAGAATGGAAATTCTGTTAACCGTGCAGAAACATAATATTGGCGCAAACGTTATTCGAGGATCGAATCAGAGTCGCGTCTTCGTCGCGCTCTTCGCATAGTTACACGTAACATAAAGCAGGTGGAAGAGTGTTTCGC